TCTGTCCACTAAAGTAATTCTAGGCTTCCAAAGTTTTTTGTGCATATACATAATCAAAAGTCGAAACAGTCGCTTTAGTCCAGCTGTGTCATACCTTTATAAGAAACGTTTATCTGCTTTTTTTTCGCTTAATAATACTTTCATGCGTATTTTGTTCCCGAGATGTGTTTTTATGGGTGATTTCGCAGTTTTTTGACTGGTTTGGAAACAATAGGGCTTCTTCTATCTTATAAATGCTTAGCGAAGTGAGAACTAGAAAAAAAATTTGAGTTTTCATATTTTTTCTAGTTCTCACTTCGCTAAGCATTTATAAGATAGAAGAAGCCCTATTGTTTCCAAACCAGTCATACCCAACAGCAGGCCTGCGCTCACATTTTTGCTTCTAAACTCTTTCTGCAATGTTCTCATGAGCGTGGAGTAAAGCAATAACATTGTTGTACGTATGAGAGTCCGGATGCAGTGGTTGCAGATTTCCGCAGGTCTTAGCATGCAGGCTAATTGAGGAATCCATCCTGCAAAAACTGATTTACAAAAAGCTTTGAACTTATTTTTGGTTCTGGCCGTGATACTCATGTGAGTCACAAGGCATTATACAATACAGGGTGTTCTCACTATCTAGCGTTAAAGAGTGACAAAAATCAGGAAAGGTTCCAATTGGTAAGTATTTTGGGATTGCCCAAATATTATCACTGAACCGCGAAGATCTGTGCTTTGAAAACGAAGCAAAACATAACGGCGAACATGGCGAACAATCGTAAGTATAGTGTACAAACTTCTTTTTATGCAAACAATGCTTTGCATCATTTTGAGCTTACAAAAATAGCATAAACCTATTTTAAAGGCAAAAATTTGAGCGCAGACTTGCTGTAGGGTCTATGTCGGGTGCAGGGCCCGGCACCGATGGTTTGGGGTCAAACTGGACTTCGTTTTTGGAGTTAGAAGCAACGGGGACATCGTTTTTATGAGGTCCTGGAGGAGGCGCCAAAAAACACGACGAACATGTCAGGTTTCACGAGTTGAACGTGTTCCTTCGCAAGCGCGCGAATTTCAAATGCAAGACTCAAACAAACAAATGGCTTGTTTACAGCGCACAAACAATCATATAGCTCCAAATTTGGGCTATGTGTATACAATATTACTCCAAACTATGTTATGTAAAAAGTTCGCAAAACTTATGTGTCCTAATACCCGTTCTCGAATTTGTTGGTTTCTAGACCAACTACCAAACCAACTGGGTTGGTTCGGAGCATAAATATCGGAGAGTTCACATAAGTTTTGGACCTTTTTGATTTGGACGATTAGAACGGTCAAAAATCTATCATACAGTGAAGAGAGAGGATCAAACCGTTGCATCTCCCCTTTTTTTGAGTCAAAAGTAGTATATTTCTACGCGTTGATAGATATCGCGCTCCAATCACTTGCGGTGTCCTTTAAAATATGTGGCGAAAAATGCATCGCAGGATTGTTGAGGCTACAGATTTGGTTGGCCTAGCAGATTTTCGACATTCCCAGCATCAAAATGGTACTATACCCAATGGCAGAGCCTTTAATCGACTCGAAATGTTTTCTTTTTGCTTTTTTGTTATATTACATACCTCAAAATGCGCTTTTTTCGCTTTTTTGTTGCTATTTTGGTTGAATACGGGTTTCCGTACTGATTTTCACGTCGAGAGGGACTTCGTAAATTTTCGCGAAGTCATGGGGGACTTCGTTTCCTAAAAACCTCCAAACCAACGCGTGCCGGGCCCTGGTCGGGTGCCCTTTAAAATATGAAAACTCAAATTTTTTTTCTAGTTCTCACTTCGCTAAGCATTTATACGATAGGAGAAGCCCTATCGTTTCCAAACCAGTCAAAAAACTGCGAAATCACCCATAAAAACACAATCTCGGAAACAAAATACGCATGAAAGTATTTTTAAGCGAAAAAAAGCAGATAAACGTTTCTTATAAAGGTATGACACAGCTGGACTAAAGCGACTGTTTCGACTTTTAATTATGTATATGCACAAAAAACTTTGGAAGCCTAGAATCACTTTAGTGGACAGAGACCTTGAGTGGAAGTATAGTTTTGGCCAACCTTCAAGCCTGCTTTTTTCGAAATTTCTGATTTTTTCCTGAATAATCAAACAAAAACGGCATCCGTTCTAGTTCCTGATGGTAGCCTATTAAACACGCAGCAGTACCAAATTTCAGATCAATTCGTCAAGAAGCAGATGAGTTACGGCAGTTTTCAGGGTGGAAGTATAGTTTTGGCCAGCACTGTATGAGGACTGAGATGCACAAACATGGAAATTGATAGCGTTCGAAAAATATCCTCAAAAATTTTGAAAAGCCAGCTGTCGATGCCAAATCTTATCACATTGCATTTTGTTTACTCTATTTAACTGTTATCAAAGTATTTCCCAAAGTCCAGATTGTATAAAAGACTAGATGGCTTTTCCGGCTCCGCCCGGCCCTGTCAAAACGATAAAGGTTCCATTTATATCCCTGTAAATCTTAATCTGTGCCCACTTCTACATGCAGTTCCCTACTTCCGCCGTGTGAGTAATCAGTATGCTCACCTATACTCCTCACAGGCCCCCCAGCCCGTAGCTCAAACTTTGCAAAAAAACAATGAAATCGATGAAAGTAAGAATAATTCTAAAAACTGATGGCGTTATTCGCCTATCCGGGCCCCAAAATGTTTTTGAGGTGTGTCTTGCTCAAAATCGGCATATGGGGGTTATTCAAGCCGCTGATAACGAATATGGTAGTCATTTCGCGTGGCAGCGGGTAAAAATCATGAACTTGCCTGAAACCTTGGCAGGGTACCCAAAGTGCTGTTTCAAGAATATTGTGCTAAATCTCCATGATAATCGCAATTCGCGTGGTATAAAAATTTCCCACGACCGTAATGCTTTCCTTATATGACCACTGCCGCGCGCGATACACCCTTCGGCGGCTTTTGCCTAAGCAAAAACAGAGGGAGGGAGATTTGCCGCGTGCGTTACACGTTGGGACAGGTTATCAGGATGGCGCTGGAGATTGCCATCCTGATAACCATCCAAAACAATCCGAAAGCGAAAAAATGTCCATTAAAACCCTGCTCACCATAACTTCACTAATGTGTTATGACAGCGAGCAAGCATCATATTCATAAGTAGTATACTTGTGAACCGTTATAGGTAAGGTTTTGAGCAAATCTGGAACTTCGACCCATCTACACCCACCGTAACCCAAGAAAATGCACTATACTGCGAAATCAGCATGATACTCATGTTCAGCGCGTTAAATGGCCACCCTAGATGAAGTTTAAAGCAGATCTCTATTTTCGACCCCATACCGTATAATCACCATAACTCTATGAAAGGTCCCAATATGCAGAGAGAGTTTGAAATTCGTAATCAGCATGTCGAATACGTTCTCTGACCCAAACTCCAGCCGAATTCATGATTTTGACTTCCTACCGTAACCCCCCGGGGGGACGTTGTGGGAGAAAGTGTGATATCTGTTCAGCACGTAAGATAACCCTCATACACCAAGTTTGAGCAAGCTCTACGACAAAAAAAATCTTGGGGCCCGGATAACCGAATAGCGTTAAACTGATATTGTGCTCGTAATCAGCATGCTCGATTACCCCTCTGTGCAAACTCCCAGCCCCGCAGGTCACACTTTGCAAAAAAATCGATAAAATCGATAAAATCGATATCGATCGGTGACGAAAAGTAGTCTATGACACCCGTCGGTGCCCGGAGTGTATGTGCGCCAAGTTTGGTCCGGATCGGTTCAAAAATGGAATTTTATTTTCGGAACGTAAAGGCTACTGCATGACGAAGGCGCAATAGCAGTATTGGTTGAGCGGGCGCGAACTCGGGGCGTGCATATCTTCGCCGTCGTAATCCTGCGTCTTATGCGCTCTGCGGCAAATAGAGCCGCGTTCGCGCCCAAAGGTATTGCGCCTTCGTCATGCAGCAGCCTTTACGTACATACAGACATACAGACATACAAATAGACATTCAGCTTTATATATAAGACAGCAAAACTCAGGGTAGGTATGAACCATAGGTTGGAGATTCTGACAATTTTTCAAGCAAACCTTCAAAAGAATCCGAACAATTATTCCTGCATAAAAACCTTTTTAGAATGTTTGCCTATGTTTATCCTGAATGATTTGAGAGTAGGTCTGAAAAACGGCTTTCGGACCCACCTAATATGCTGCTGAACTCAGTTGAGTGCTAGTTTCAAAACTACAATCATTGAATGCAAAATGCTTTCTGAAAAAACTCACAAATTTGACCATTGTTAACACATCACTTCTTGAAAAACACTGACGGACGTGCTATCATGATTATGGCGCAGCGCGAGGTGGTTGTTGATGGCGCAAAGTCGCAGCAATTGTGCATGCGACAAATTGCGTCGCATGTTTTTTTTTCACAAAAAGAACACGTTTGCATTTCCGTTTCTGACCACAGCCTTCTTCAAAAACGCTTTGCAAAAAGGATTGCAGTTTCCAAATGGAAGACGGTCGTAAGGCGCGTATTGATCGGTTTTTACTGACTGGGGAAATAAAAAATAAGTTCAAATTGATATTAATACTTTCGGATTTCAACTGGTTATCCTTTTTTATACTTCCTGATGTACTGACAAAAATCTCGCAATCTTGAAACCTTGCTTCTGCAGAGAATTGATCCAATCTGGCAATGAAGGCTGAGGGAACGCGCGCCTTTCGACATACACCCAAAAGAACGCGTTTGCATTTTCGTTTCTGACCACAGCCTTCTTCAAAAACGCTTTGCAAAAAGGATTGCAGTTTCCAAATAGCATTCATCGTTGTCATCAGCAATATTTATATCAACATAAACGGCCACTTTTACTAGAGAAGCATTCCTCGTAATGTAGGAATGCCAGTTCATATAACGATACTGAAGAAAAAACAAACAGCAGGGTATCTTCAGTTTCTCCATCGACTCGAATAGGCACTCCACAATCCGTACACTGAATCAGAACCTGATTATCAATGATTATATATTTCGGGCAAATTGAACCAACGGCTTATTTTCCTCTAGATAGGACCAGGCATCGTCCAATATATCCTGTCGCAAGAATTCTTGCAGGTTCGAGTAGTCACACAACGAAGAACATTTTTACCTGTACCCAGAACTCAGCGTTAAGATATCTTGGTGTTTGTGTCAGATTCACAATTGCATAAACCCCATTATCTTCGAGAGACCACGCCTGCAATCACTTTGCGCGACGAAAATTTTGCTAGAATAATCTACCTTTGTTCCAGGTATATATGGCTCGTTTCTGGAGGAAAAAGAAACGTTCGGGAGAGGGATACAGTCTCTCCATTCTATTCGAAACGGGTAAGAGACTACAAAACGAGCTGTTTGGTATCGATAGATTGCTGTATCATTTATCACCTGAAAAATGATGAAAAAATACGATTATATTTTGTTTTTAGGCTGAATAAAAGCGCAAAGATAATGAAGGGTATGACTAGGAATAGGTTGAAGGTGACTTTGAGGAGATGAGATGATAAATCAATTTTGTTGCTGCCGTAGCTTGCGTCAGTCTTTCCCAGAGTCGAGCAAGAGGTATGGCACACAAGCGTTGGATACGGCCCCTCCCCCCCCCCCCCCTTCCCCGCTACCTTTTGTCTCAATACTCCCCTCCCTTCCCCTCCTCCTCCCACCAGCATTATAGTTTGCCTTCCAAAGGCATGACATAGGGGCTCTACCATACACAACTAGGCACATATTTCTAATGATCATGTCAAAAAAACCCCATGGGCCAAGTTTTAGCAAATTCTGAGGGTTCCAAATGTGGAACACACAAGTGAAGTGGTCATTTTCAAACATGATTAACTATATTTCAAAAGTGAATTAGCTAACTTTTTTGTACTCATTACGAAGCACTACCCCCCTATTTACCCATACCATAAATACTGCTTCAAATAACCATCAAGCCATGGAATTAGGAGCAGACCAAGATCTCATTTGCCCCATTTTTCCTTTTCAATAGCTGCGCTTTCACCAGCTTTCACTCAAAGCGAAGAAGATGAATCAGGGCCCAAATACTCCTGTGAAAACTACAAACTAGAGCTATCGAACTATATATGCTAGGTTCGCTAATATTCTTTTTGGAGGTAAGTTAATGAGATGTGGCACAACCCCATTAAATTACCTTCAAAGCATTCAAATCTCTGTTTCTTTTATATGGTTGCTACGGCTAAATCTTCGTCTGCACATGCAAGAATTTTACTCAAAATTGTTTCTCCTAGGGAAAGATATAGCCGCTTTTCCTTAGCTATGCAAATGGAAAACACAACGAAAAATCTGGTTTACGGTGATAAGCTAATTCTGCGCTATACGTAATACGCGAGAGAAGGCGGCAAGAACAAGTATATTCAAAGCCTAATCCTCGCAACTTTCACAAAAGAACTTGAGCCTAATTGGTCTTCTCTAATTTGAGAGCGAAATATGGAACAAACAAGACTTTTCTTGCTCTTAGTTCTAGAGTTCGGAGGTGAATCAAAGTGGAATTCCTAATATGAGCAAAGAAGCAGTACTATATTAGGTTGATTCATAATTAATGCACCTTTTCTATAGTTCAACTTTCAACCGAGATAATTCTTTTTTGAAAAGACATTTCTGGGCGCAATAAAAATCACTATAAACACCATATCAGTGGCTATAAAACAAATACTTATGCGTGACCGCATCCATTATAAGAAAGATTTTCTGGCCTGAAGATTACCAACAACTTTTTTTCGGAAGCCTCTTCTTTACGAGAGCATAACTTATGCTGAAATGAAGTAGGATAAAGTAGACTTCGCTCATCGTGTAGCCAAGGGTCTCTTGAGCGGTAAGGCCAAGTTTGGATTTTATGGCAAATTTTTCGCAAAAAAATCGAAAGTATTCACTTTTCTTGGCATCTTGGCGGGTACAAAAATCGGTCATTTTTGAAATAATTTCATTTTTCTCTTTTGGAAAGCGCTTTTAAACCATCAAATCAACTAGGTCTACCCTTGCTGAATAGTGCAAAAGACCTGCGATTGCTTTTTGCTTTGAAGTTTTTTATGGCCCGAAAGGGCCGCGACGCTCACTCAAGTTCGCAATTGAATTTCTCGGCTCAGTATCCAAAAAAATTTTTTTTATCAAAAAGCGTCTTGTAACACAAAGTTTCATAATCCTTACGCATAATTTTTGAAATTAATCTGGCCATTCCTCATGAATTTAGGGCAAAAAGAGTAAAAAGCAAAAATTTTGGGATTTAGTCTCTTTCATTTGAAGGTTCAAAACTTTGGAACGAAAGGAGATGTACGAAAGCGAAGGCCCGCATGAAACTAGAAAAAACGTTCTTTTAGATTGCGTAAAAGTTTTTGAGGAAAATGATTACTCATCAAATACTAGCTCTTGGAAGAAGAGGTAAGAACTACGTGCATTAATTATGAATCAACCTAACAGTAAATGCAGAAAGAAGTAGTTTACTACCTCTGAAACAAAGTTAACAAGTTCGAAAAAGACCACCTCACTTGAGTGTCCCGAAACCTCAAAATTCGCTGAAAGTTGGTCAACAGCGGTTATTCGACATACTGATTACAAAATGATGCTCTTATGATTTTAGAATTCTTTTTTAGGTCGTTAAGAAAGTATTTTCGCTTTTTTCGAATGAACGCCTCTATTCGTGGAATAAACATCTTCAAGAGGTCTTAAAAGCATTCAATGCAGCATTTCATCTTCTTTCTAAAGGTTCTAATCTCACTGCGTAATGTTTAATGAGCTCTCGAAAAATTACCAAAATCTGCAACTCATGTTTTTTGCCATGGTCAAGTTCGGCTATTTTTCTAAATTTTTTACCTAATCTCCGAAAAAGCACAAGTGGCAGGTAGATAGAGCAAACACTATAGAACACAGAATAACTTTTTCTTTTCCTTAGCTTGCTTCTCAGAGTTTCTACAGTCAATTTCTTGGTGCCATCAAATTCCATATTTAGTCAAGTCAAACCTCACAGAACAACAAGCGGCAAGCGACTCTGGTGTCATTCGGTGCAGCTTTTTCACCTCTTTCTAGCCGTTGTTTTTTGTTTCCGATTCATCAAGTTTTCCGGGATAAAATCATCATAATTCAACTTTTCCAAGGCACCACCAAGGTATACCCGAAATTTTAAAAGTTGCTAAACCGAAGCGATGAATGCTCGTTTGGTTTGTAAAATTGTTGCTAAACCACCAAACCACCAGAACAACCTTTGTAAGTTTCAAAATCCGAAGAATTATTGGTGTTTGATGCGTTTATCTCTGAGGCAAGGATGTCAAAATTCGGTGGTTCCATCAAAAAATCTTTACAAAAATTATGACGAGCTCTGAAAAGTAGAAAAAGATTGTATTGTTTTTTTGTATGGTTTGCTTCACCCATCCATTACTTGGATCCTTCTGAGGTTTATTATAGAATTTTAGAAAAGTTGTGAAACTTGGCCATATCAAAGAGCATAGGTCGCAGATTTGACTCTTTTCTGAAAGCTCATTGACTGTATTGCAACAGCTTCATAAACATTAGAAAGAGAATGAAATGCTGCATCAAATGCTACCAGAATCTCTTACAAATCTTTGTTCCACGAGATGTGGCATACGTTTGAAAAAAGCGACATTACTTTCGGAACGACCTAATATTATGCTCTCACTATCACCTCGATAACGACTCCTCTCTCCCTGACCCATCTACGCCCCAGGTGTGGCGTGCCACACCTCCCGCTTGACTCTGGTCTGTCTTTCTTTGACTATTAAACCAAGTGATCACTTCTCGCCGAATGCTTTCTCATTCATGGTCACCAACCTCTTACGAAGGAGGGTAGTCCGTATACTCAATGCGTGCGCCAATTCCAGTCTTTAGGTTTCAAGTAATTACTATTCTAAGAAAAACAATCAACGGATACTGAGGTAAGACACAACCGCAGTGCGCTTCTCGCAATATATGCGCTGCTTTGATCTCTGTTGTTCGCTCCAACTAATCAAAGTTTATTGCCGGACAAAGGCACAAAAGCATTATCGGAACCTGGTGCGAGCACGGCGCGCGTGTATCTGCACCGTTGCAAACCTTGTTCCTCATGCGCTCTGCGGCTCATGGAAGAGCGTTCGCGCCTTTCATTTTTGCGCTTCCTCTGGCAGTAGACACTATGGTTATGAGCGTTGCAGAACTATCTCTATGATGTTTTGCCACACAGGTTTGTTATAGGTCTTATTTATTCAGCCTGACGTTCCGGCAACAATGCTTTCCTCAGAGGCCTGAAGGATAGTCTCGAACGTAATTTCCGCTTTATACGACGCTCTCCTCTACTTGTTTCTTTCAATTCGTTTTGAGTGGACGGTGCTGAGTCTTAATGCTACAGCAACTCACCAATGTCAACAACGCCGCTCACTAACGATTGACCCGTTGATAAAAAATGACTGAGCTGTCCCATTGATAGACAGCTTAAGTAGTCGTAGGTATCTTATAACTGACAGTACGATATGAAAGGGCATAAGATCCTGGTGATAGAAAGCTGTTCACTCTTGCCGTTCATCTTTGGCTGACGCGAGAGAACGACGCTTCCAATGCTTTGCGAGCCGCAATCTTACTTTCATAGCCAAAATCGTGCACTTGCAAGGATCGTTACCGCCGTGATCTGCTCTATGTATCCCGAATGGACTCATCGTACTCCCCCGTTTTTTACTGGCTAGATGTTGGTTAACGCGGAAGCTGAATAAAGCCTCGTCTCCGATATATTTTGATCAATCGATCAAATACAATCGAGTTCGTAGACTACGTCAAGCTTGGCACAATCTCCTACTCTGCTGTCAGGGCATACAACGCATTCGTGTGATAGAAGCCGTATCATATAGAAGATCGTACTAGCTGTTGCTTGATGTTGTTCGCTGGAATGTTTACGAGTACGACATCCTGGTAGCTGTGCTTGTATAAGACAACCTTTGAACTCGTTTGTGACCCTGTCAGAGATGATAAACTTAAGGAATTCTCAACAGGTGTTAAAGGCATCGTCCACCCAGATTCTCGACTTTCAGGTTTATGTCTTTCAGGAATTCTCATTTCTCTGATTCCGAATATAAAGTCGAGAATCCGCGAAAACCATAAGAATTCCCGTTTCGAAAAACCTACAGGCCGGCTTTCCGAAACGGTGATTGGATGAGCGCGCACAAATGGGCGGGCATGGATGGGGAGGGGAGGGCATGGTTGGGGGTCATCATGCACCTTCGTTATTCCGGAGCAAGTTTCTCGTTTCCGAAGCGACATTTTGCGCCGCGACTTGGGCCTTGGCTCGATAGGGGGCCCTACTATCATATGCTGTCAAAAGCTTCAAACCACCAATTTAGGGTGGACGGTGCCTTTAACCTCTGTCCCTTTGCCAGCCCTCTCAACTGCGAATA